AAGACATCTTTCAAAAAATATTATTGACTGAGGTTTCATAGACGATCAGTTGTTATGGTTTCAAATTTCTTGCCATTATTTTTTAGAATAATTGTACATAAATAGGTTAAGCAAAACAAATGTGATTATTTCTGAGAACTTTTTAACTGCAGGCAGACATTATGGTACAGTAGGCCTACAAATATTTTGTATGTTTTGTATATATTCTGAAGTTTTAATTGCATTATTGTAATAGCTATAGTCAGTCGTGAACTAAAGTGGGCCGGTCTAAGGCATGAAACTCCAGGGCTGAAAATGACTCCCATCTGGCCCTGGCTCAGTTGTTAGTAAAAGGTTTGATACAGTACTGAGTCCCAATCAATGCTGCCATGATGTTATTTTCCTAGTGCTCTGGGGTAATTAGTCACATGCTATTTACGACTCAGATCATTGGCTCCAAACCTTAGAGAGAAATTATGTACTTTCGACTGACTAACTGCCATTGAAATGAATGGAAACGCTAACGGATAGCTCTCTCCAGGTGTATCAGACCTCGCTGAAGCAAACAGAGCAATGTTTTCATTGCACAGCAGTGGAAATCACCCAATGAATTACTTATTTAGAATTGTTTATGCACGTTAATACTGGGATAGATATCTGTTTTTTTATTGTGTTGGATGCAATTGTGTTTTTTTTCACACTGCCCATTAGGCAAGGCAAGGCAAGTTTATTTATATAGCACATTTCAGACACAATGGTAATTCAAAGTGCTTTACATAAAAGAAAAGAAAATAATAATAAAAAATAATCACAACAATAAAACAAGGAATTTAAAAACTTTGAACATGATTTAAAATTTGATTTAAAAGGTTTAAAATGAATTTAAAACAGTTAAGAATAGAAAATGATTATACATAAAATATAGAGCAATCAGTTCGGACATAGCACAGTGCTCATTCAATAAATGCACAGCTAAACAGATGAGTTTTGAGTCTGTATTTAAATGTGACTAATGTTTTAGCACATCTGATCTCTTCTGGAAGCTGATTCCAACTGCGGGCGGCATAATAACTAAAAGCGGACTCCCCTTGTTTTGTGTGAACCCTTGGTATTTCTAACTGACTCGATCCTAATGATCTGAGTGGTCTTATAGGTTTATATTCAGTGAACATATCTACTATGTATTTAGGTCCTAGGCCATTGAGTTATTTATAAACGAGTAAAAGTACTTTAAAATCAAAATATAACTTAAATATAACTTGAAGCCAGTGTAAGGACCTGAGGACTGGTGTGATATGCTCAGATTTTCTGGTTCTAGTCAGAATCCTGGCAGCAGCGTTCTGGATGAGCTGCAGCTGTCTAATGGTCTTCTTGGGAAGGCCGGTGAGGAGACCATTACAATAGTCAACCCTGCTGGTGATAAAGGCATGAACAAGTTTCTCCAAGTCTTGACTGGAAACAAAACATCTAATTCTTGCAATGTTTTTAGATGATATTATTCTGATTTAGTTACTGCTTTGACATGACTACTGAAACTAAGGACTGCCTCCAGAATCACACCAAGATTCCTGACTTGATTTTTAGTTGTTAGACCCCTAGAGTCAAGCCAGAAAACCCGACCCAGTTTTCCAGTCTCTCTAGAAGTATGTTATTATCGACAGTGTCAAACGCAGCACTGAGATCTAGTAGTACCAGCACTGATATTTTGCCAGATTCAGAATTTAAGCGAATATCATTTATTATCTTAATGAGTGCTGTCTCTGTGCTGTGATGCGGTCGGAAACCAGATTGAAAATTGTCCAGGTATCCATTTGAGTTTAAGTATTTGTTCAGCTGATTAAAGACTACCTTTTCAATAATCTTGCCTATAAAAGGAAGATTTTATATTGGTCTATAGTTGCTCAATATGGTGTTATCAAGATTGCTCTTTTTCAGAAGGGGTTTAACAATTGCAGTTTTCAGGGAGTTTGGAAAAGTCCCAGAAAGAAGTGAGGTGTTCACCACTTCTAAGAGATCTGCTTCTAAACAGTTACTTCATTACTTCATTGCTGGAGGGTAGATGCCAAGAGCTAAAGCAATGCATGTAGGAAATGGAAGTCATGCACCATTTAAGCCTCGATACTCATTTAAAGCTAATTGACTGGTTAGATCCGACTGAAAACAAGAGAAAGGGCCAATTACAGCTTGCTTCAAGTCTCATTGGAAATGCTTCTGCTGACCCTCAACGTAAAATTGTTCTCATTGATTTGCAATTAAATGCTTCCTGTGTGAAGATTCTTTTTTCCCCCCAAGAATATTCAAACAAAAAGCAGAAAGGTTTCAAGTCACTTTGATTAATGCCACCTGTAAAATACCCTTTAAAAGTTTGGGGCCAAGATTTTTGATGTTTTTGAACTCTTATGCTCTCCTTGGCTGGATTTATTTGATAAAATACAGGAAAAACTGAAATATTATGAAACATATATTGTTCTTGTTCTTATTTATATTGTTCTTATTTAATTTGACACATAGTTTGGGGATTAATACAAATGCAAATCTTTTTTTTCCCAAATCAATAACCATTGTGATATTTGAGGCCATTTCATCCACAGAAAAATGTCTTGCTCAGATAAAGTCTTTACGATATTAAACAGACCATCATGGGTTTGCTGTGTGCTACTGGAATAACCTCGGCTCTCTTCCTCCTTTTGTTTATTGTCAGTAGAACTTTAGAAGAGCTGCAGCGGCAGGCCAGCTTGTGTTGTGATTGCGTTCTGCTGATTACAGGAAGATCTGGAAGTGATTCCACAGCTGATTATGTGGTCAGCGAACAAAGAAGCTCTTTCTGAATCGTAGCATTCGAGCAATATCGCTTGCACACAGGCCAGAGCACCTGTTAAAGAGCACTGGAGTAGAAATAACATACATCGATGGTTTGGAGTGGAGACAGGGCAGGTTGTAGTTGACCTGAAAGAGAAGACTGACCATAGAAAAGGACAGTTTAACTAAATAACTCTATTCTGCCCCTTGAAGCAGCCTTAAGAATGCAGTGCATACTTGTTGAATTGTTAATTACTGTAGGTTGCAGTACTGTTCAAAAAATTTGGGGTCAGTAAAATTGAGTTAAAATTTTTGGCAAAATTTAGTACAAATTTACAACAAAAGTTAGAAAAAATGCAACTTTCTGTTCTTCAAACAATTCTGAAAAAAATATCACAGTATCAGAATATGAAGCAGCACAACTGTTTTCAACATCGATAATGAGAAATGTTTCTTGAGCATCAGATTAGCATGTACTGCACATTTTAGTGTCATTAAGATACTATTATAGTTTTTAATTTCTTGAATATTTTTTTCTATTTTTCTATTTACCATTTTAATTTTAATTTTAAAGATTTAGTAATTTTGTTGTGTTTTTCATATATAGTTTGTATTATTAATTATGATTAATAATTTTGTTTTAGTTATTTGTTGTCTGGGTAACTGCTTGAAATACACCATTTTTCTTATATTTTATTTCAGTTAATATTTATTTTATTTCAAGTAAGAATTTTCTAATGGTTTTAATTTTAGTTTCCATTTCAGTAGTTAACTAATAACCCTGTTTCTGCACTATAATGTGACACTGAAGACTGAAAATTCACCTTTACCATCACATGTATCAATTTTGTTTGAAAAAATATTGCAACAGAAAACACTTATTTTAGGCTGTAATAATATTTTTCAATATTACTGTTTATAATATATTTTTTATCAAATAAATTCAGCCTTGGTGAGCATAAGAGACTTATATTTAAAATACAAAATCTTACAGACTCAATTTTTAAATGGTTGTGTAAAATTTAAGCGACAAGAAAAATACTAAATCAGATGCTACATTTTAATGACATGTTCAGCAGCTTTAGATCTCAAAATTTTTCTGCTCTAATGTTGAATAATATATTTCAGACAACTCTGCCCTTAAATGACACATAGGAACATTACAAACTGTGATTGATCACTGACTGACAGAATTTATATGAGCTGCATTCTCTTGCATGACTTAATATTTGATCTGATTGCCAAATGTTAAGATTTTTTAAAAAATTTTTACACAAACTTTTTATTTCCATTATGATAACTGGATACCTCTTGCTGAATTAAATAAGCAGCAAATGTAGTGATGTTATGTGACAACAATATAGCAATGTGGAATAATCTCTTACTGTTTTAAAAATAAATAGTATGCAGTATGCAGTGCACTGTGCAGTATTGAGTGAATAAAAGCTAGAATTTCATCCTAAGTCATTTCGCTCAAGGGCAGGACGATTGCAGAGAAAGATTGAGATCTTAATAACAGTCTGGTTGCATCTTCCTTCCACCCTTCAGAAGTCTTGTGATGTGAACCGTTTCTGTTCAGGGTGACTGCTGCTTTTCTGAACAGAATTAATAAGCTGAAATATGATAGGCTAATGTTTTTAGGCTGAGGTAATAGGACATTTAGAAAGTCAATATCCTGTTGTTCTTCTTTCTGGTTTTCTCTCTATTTCTGTCCCTAAACAAACTCTTCTCAAAACACATTGCTGCATATTTCGTACAGCTGTAGCTGGATTCATGTTTTTGGAGAAAATCACAAATGGCAAATCGTTTCCTGTTTTTATTATTATAATTTTTTTTTAAATGCACTTGTACTGGATTGACTGCATTGTTGTTATTACCTGACTGGCAGTCTAAGTGAAAAATATTTCACAATGGAAAAAAATGCTCTTTTTTTTGTTGAGAGAATTTATTTTTCAACATAGCACGCATTCGTTTTATGAATTGTGCTCAAGAAGCGCACAAATAGACAAAGAGTCTCACTAACGAGTGAGTGGTTTAAAGAGAGAATAATCAAGAGCAGCTCTGAAAATCATTACTGTAGGGATAAATAGTAGGATGTTCCTTTCCCCTTGATAATTTACTGTAATATTGAGACAAAAGATGGAGGGGCTAATAATGCGCCACAAAGAAGAACAATGACTTTGTAACATATCTGATTTTGTTGTTTTGTGTTTGTTCCACAGGAACTGTGAGGGCAGGAACATCCGCTACAGAACATGCAGCAATACAGTAAGTCAGTGTTATGAGGCCCATCAGCAATCTGTGTCTGCAGAAGCACAAATGTACAAATTTAGGTTTGTACATTAGCATGGACTCACTAACTTTAACGTTAGTTAGTTTTAGCCAGAGATACTTTGCTGAAGCACAAGATTACATTAACGTTTTGCTTGATCAGATGAAAATGGTAACTTAATTAATGTGTGACAACCAGAAAATGAACGTTTTTTTGTCTTCATTGGGATTAGGGGTGAATGCTTTGGGACATTTTGCTCCGTTTTGTTTTGGTTTAGGAAATAGAATAAAATAAATTCCATTGCCCATCCTCTCAGGATACCTGGAATCACTGTTACAAACCCCATAAAAGCAATGCGAGCTTCGGATCTTCCAATGTTTCTCTATGGCGCTGAAACCTACAGATATCCGAGTTCCGGTCCCCATGCAACTGATACTCGACTGCCATTGGCTCATCAGCGTTCGAGGGGAGGAGCTTACCGATTGGTCAATTGGAGCGCCTGTTGTTCATAAAATTATACAGAACCCTCATACCTTGCATGTTCGTTTATTAGATATCTGTACTAATTTAGTCATTCATCCTGTTACCAATAAGAGTGTAGCACTCACAGCTCCGTTTAACAGCTGAAATTCCATAGTGGATTTTTTTTTATTCTAAAGTTTCTCTGCCTCAAAAAACTCCTAATTCGGTGCTTATTAATAGTTAGTTAGGTAGTTGTTAGGTTTAGGTATTGGGTAGGATTAAGGCATCTGAAATATGGTCATGCAGAATAAGGCATTAAATTGTGTTAATAAGTATTGAAGGGGTCATATGACGTTGCTAAAAAGAACATTATTTTGTGTATTTGGTGTAATACAATGTGTTTACGTGGTTTAAGGTTCAAAAAACATTATTTTCCATATTATTCCACATACTGTACATTATTGTTGCTCCTCTCTGCCCCACCTTTCTGAAACGCGTTGATTTTTACAAAGCTCATCGGTCTAAAAAAAGCGCATGTAAGACAAATAAAAACATGAAATTGCATCATATGACTAGTAATACGCATGTTAATAAGCAACTAGTTAATAGTGAAAATTGGTCCCTAAACTAAAGTGTTAACAAAATCTTTTACTATTTATTCTACATATTGTATACCATGCAGTGTATTTTAAACTATTTTTCAAAATAGCATGCAGAATACAGTAGCCCGCATAACATGTCGGGTGGAGTTTTTTTAGTATAATACTATGTAATTTTGGCAAAAATAAGCAATTTATATTGGCGCACACTGTTGAGTCTGCTTACAAAAGTTAGTGTTCTCACAGGAAACTTTGTGTTCTCTCGCAAAACATTTGCGTTCCTCCGAGAAACATTGCATTCTTGCAATACATTTGCATTCTGTTTTTCTCTTTTATGTGCATTTTTGCCTCATGTCATGTACATTTTGAGGGTGGGAATGAGAAACTGGTTCTTACAACCAGTTTGAATGAAAAAAAAACTGGCATGGAACCAAATGATTTTCATGAGTTTGATTCCATCAACATATCTTTTTTTACATTCTTTTTTTTTTGATGCAAGTGAAGTGAATTTTCTACTAGTGATGTCTGGTTTGAGAATGAATCCATTATTTCAGTTGGATCTTTTATTAGTTGGATATTTTATTGTATTAGGCATGAATAGTGCAGTCTGATTCGTGAACAAATAAATTCTTATATCCAGTTGTTTAAATGATTCTTTGATTAATTGTTCAAATGACTCACAATTTTCTTGGTGTAACAGCTCGAAATTAAATAAAAATACAAGTTAATGGAGTTGTTATGGAACCAGAATGGTGCCCTATGATTCAGTCAATAGACCCCAACTACAGGACAAACTCATTTTGAGAGCTGTTAGATGCTCATGTGTCTCAAGGACCATTTTAATCAAAAGCCAGTGTTTTTCTACCATTGAAGTGGTTTCATCTGGAATCCCATTCCTCCTTCATCCACAATTCCAATCAGAGCCATCTGGGAAAGATTCCCAGCATAACATTTATCCCATTTCCGTCAAAACAGTGAGAACTGATGCTCGGTCTTCCCTGTCAGGTTTTATAATTGCTGTTGATGAGGTCCATTGTGGAATTGTTCTTTTTGTTTCCATTACTGATCCTGACGTTGAAGACTTGTGATTTGTAATCGCTCTATCCGATGGAGACGCTTCAGTCACGGGCATCACTGATGATCTTTGCACATGGGGGCTTCAGAGCCGATCGGATGATTAAATGAGTTCAGAGCCCCGAGCTGCAGAGAAAGAATTGTGGTTTTCTTTAGTGCACAGGAGATGACATAGGAAATATTGTTTTTCTAAACATGGAGGCCTGCCACAGTTCAATTACACTGTCACAATTCGTTAATGCACCCAGTCATCTGCATAGGCTTTATGATGTCTTGGAAGACTTGGAATATAGTGCACAAATCTTACTTTTATGGAGATGTTTTGGTCATTTGGGGAGCTCAAAAGTATGCATCCCCATTTAATTTTGTTGACAAGAGCTTCTGGCACATTCAGCTAAACTTTGCTTTTCTGTTCCACCGAAAAAAACACAGATGGTACGTAAATGATGACAGAATTTTCATTCTTGGGTGAACTTTCTTAGTGTTTTCAGTAGACGTAGACTCTCTGTTTTCCATTTGGCCCACAGCAAAGAAACACAATATACTCAAACCAAATCAGATACAGTCATCAGTATTCAATGCAGTACTGCACGGTAACTGAATTCGACAATGTTGATGAAACTTCTCTTGCGTTGCACCTAATTTGACCTCAGTCCCCATGAGTATTAGGTAAATTGGTGTAAATGAAGCTTGTCTGTTTACTTGTGCTTGTTTACCGGAGCTACTGGGTAAAGTCTTGCTGTTTGCTGTCTCTGGCTGCTTTCCCTATTGCCCCGCTAGTGTAAACAGAATTTTGCATTAAAACTGGGCAGCTTTTCTGGTGCAGATGGCTGGTTCCTAGCAGAGCATCACCGTCAGTAGCACATATTTCTGGGTAAATATTGAGGAACGCTGGGGGGAACATGTATGGGATGAAAACGTATGAAAGATTATTCAGTATTCTTGCATGTTTTATATGTTGGTTCTCCATTAATTTTTATGATGCTTGTTAGAGCTTAAACATTGTAGTTTGGAACCGTGTGCTGGCCAGTTTCTCAATCCACGTCATTTTATTGTCAGTTTATATTCTGTTATGGAGGAAGCATGATTTGTTGGTTGAGGTCCTGCAGATCTGTTTGCTGAAAAATCAGTTGCCTCTCAAAATAATGTTGCAGCTGGAGGGATGAATCAGGAAAATGTTAAATTCAAAATACTGTTGTGGATAATGGGTCTAATTTGGAGTCTAAGTCAAGTTTCCCATTTCGCCTTTTCTGAGTTATGTGTCTGTTTTTTCCAACAGGAAGTTGGCTGTGACAGACAACTGGGAAGCAACGCTAAAGAGGACAACTGTGGCGTTTGTGCTGGAGATGGTTCCACTTGTCGACTGGTCCGAGGCCAGGCTCTGCCTCACGTGTCACCTGAAGAACGTAGGTACACACATACATGAGCACAACCGTGTGCTGGCCAGTTTCTCAATCCACGTCATTTTATTGTCAGTTTATATTCTGTTATGGAGGAAGCATGATTTGTTGGTTGAGGTCCTGCAGATCTGTTTGCTGAAAAATCAGTTGCCTCTCAAAATAATGTTGCAGCTGGAGGGATGAATCAGGAAAATGTTAAATTCAAAATACTGTTGTGGATAATGGGTCTAATTTGGAGTCTAAGTCAAGTTTCCCATTTCGCCTTTTCTGAGTTATGTGTCTGTTTTTTCCAACAGGAAGTTGGCTGTGACAGACAACTGGGAAGCAACGCTAAAGAGGACAACTGTGGCGTTTGTGCTGGAGATGGTTCCACTTGTCGACTGGTCCGAGGCCAGGCTCTGCCTCACGTGTCACCTGAAGAACGTAGGTACACACATACATGAGCACATGCTTGTGGTTTTGTTTTTAGCCTATTGCTCTGTTTGTTGGAGCATCCTTAGCAGCCAGTAACAACAACATTGGATCAACCCAGGACCGTAACCACCATAGACACTGTGGGGAACTGCATCAGTGGTCTAACAGTGCTTGGCAATGTCAAAATGATGCTCAATCAAATTAAAGTAGGTGGAGTTTACTGTTCACAAGCAGAGCATGACTTCCAGCACAAAGCTTCAGTTTTAATGTTGAAAGAGAGTGGAGTACGATGGAAGTTTTACTGTTTTACTAAATTTTAAATGACCGACAGCTATGACTTTTTTCTCAAATATGGCCGTTTTGGTATAATTTATGTGTAATTCATGTAATTCCTAACTGAATGTGAGGAGACAAGAAATGTTTGGGGTTAGAGCATTTCCTTTACTATTCTGTTCCTTTATACTTTATTAAAACAAATAAAATTGTCCCCACCAGGGTTCAAGACATCAGTATGACCTTGGATCAATGTCCAATTCCCTTGGACAGGAATTGTTTATAAATACAGTTTGAGTTTGACTTTTTTTTTCTTTGATTTGGGGAAAAATGTATAATTGTAATTGTATTTTTATATAAAAATTGTGATTTAAAATGTGTTTTGTTTTGTTCTTAGGGCTGCACAATTTGGCCAAAAAAAAAGCAATTTTATATAATAATAATAATATAATAATAATAATAATAACTCAATAATAATAACTAGATCACACTCATGGGCAGTGCACATATCCTTCGTAAGGTGCTTGGGTGAATTGCTGCGATCTCTTGCTGCGATCTTTTGCTGCGATCTTGTAGATCTGGATTCACCAGTACAACCACAAATAAATGGGAGAAGAAGGTAATTTAATGCTGTATAATAATAATAATAATAATAATAATAATAATAATATAGAAACACTAAACAAATACAAAATTATTAAGAAAACAACTATAATATTAATTTTGCAATAATAATAATATTAATAAAAACAACAACAATCTTATTATTATTGT